AATAACAGCCTATTAACAAAAGATAACAGCTCATTAACATCAAATAACAATTGATGAATATCAAATGAATAGCTAATGAACAGCTCATGAACAGTTCATGAATGAATTACTACATTAGCGTTAATTTACTATTAGAAACATAAGCATAATAGAGAGAGTCAGTTAATTAATGTTACTATATTAATTAGTGTTAATTAGTACTATTTAGTAGTAATTAACATTGTGAGCTTTTTTAGATGATCAAAGTGCTCCGAGACTGGCGTCACTTCCTCGAACAATTGCCCAAGCCATTCAAAATCTGTACTGACCATGCAAACCTCTAGTATTGGCATACAGCACAACGGCTCACATGTCGACAGGTCTGATCTGATAGGCTCTTGAACTTGCCAACTACGACTTCGTGCTTATTCATAAATCTGGCAAAACACATCTCATCACAGACCCACTCTCTCGCCCTAGCTCTCAGTATATCTCTAATGACATAGACAATCAGATGCAGGTTGTGCTACTTGATGATAGATTTGAGAATGCCACCGAGCAAGGCCTTGGCCCAGAACACTTTGCATGATTAGCCACTATAGCATTCATTACAAGCTCTCTGCTGGAACAAGAAGTTCACAATGTCACCTCACTAGACAATGAAGTCTCTACAGCACTCTCCAGTCTTTGGGCAAAAGGACCTTGCAAGCTAGTCAGTGGGCTCACCGAATGGGAAGAAAATAACAGACTCATCTACTACAAAGGCAGACTTTATATATCCAACAATGCTGCCCTCCGTAACAGAATTATTGAGTCCTGTCATGACACCCCTACTGCTGGACACCCAGGAAAACATGGGACTATTGAACTAGTATCCCACTACTACTGGTGGCCAGGTATGAACTCCGCCATAGCACAATACGTGGCTGGCTGCAATAAATGTCAGAGATACAAAGGTGCCAAACATTTTAAAGCAACTCTCACACTACAAAAAGTTCCCAATAGGCCTTGGCAACATGTCAGAGTTGATATGGCCGGCCTTCTTCCTCAGACTAAGTCTCCTGGGAAATATGATGCCATCACTGTTTACATCGACCACTACAGCGATCAAGTACACTTTGCACCTTGTTGAACAACCCTCACAGCTGAGGGGGCATCCGAGATACAGTTCCACAAAGTGTTCAGACACCATGGTCTTCCACGCAAAATCTTCTCAGATCGAGAACCACAATATGCAGCCCACTTTATGCAAAGTTTATACAAATGACTCGGTATTGAGTCAGATTTAACTACAGCCTACCATCTAGAAGGCAATGGTAAAGTCAAAAGAAAGAACGCCAAGATATCTAAATTTCTCTGGCTATTCTGTTCACAACGCCAAGACAACTGGGATGAATGGCTATCTATGGCCAAGTTTGTACTCAACTTACAAGTACATACTGGTAACAAACACTCTCCTTTTGAAGTCCTCTACGGATACAGGCCTAATTTCACTGTTCCAGCCAGAAAACACTCCAATATTCCAGCACTGAATGATAAACTCAATTGCATGGCCCAAATCCAAAAAGAAGCAGAAGCAGCTCTCAGCCAAACTAAAGAAAAGATGAAGGCTGACTACGAAACTCATAAAAACTCACCTCACTCTTTCAAAGCTGAAGACAAGGTCTGGCTATCTTTAAAAGATATCTTGATTCATCAGCAAACTTGTAAACTCGGACTCTGACAGCTTGGACCATTCACTGTGACTGAAGTCGTTGGTAAACTGGACTATCACCTTGAACTACCAAACTGGCTCAAAGTTCATCCCATCTTCCATGTTGATAGGCTCAGCTCATATCACGACAATGGAATGAGCAAAGTCATACCTCTCCTGCCAGTCATAGTTAACAATGAGGAAGAATACGAAGTTGAAAAGATTCTGGACTCATGCATCTATCGCAGACAGCTCCAATATCTCATCAAATGGAAAGAATACAGACAAGGTGAACAAATGGATTCCTGCCAAAGACGTCCACGCAAAAGAACATGTACGTGACTTCCACCAACAGAACCCCTCGGCACCATGACAGATCTTCACCACCTTCTTCAGCAAACTCCACAGTTACTTTAAGCCTATTTACAAACACACTGATTTCAGCTCAACACTAGCCACCAATTCCAAAGCGACTGAATTTGAGTGGGAATTGGGCAGAATACAGGCTATGTCTTCTCATCAGGAGTCTTGATTGTAGGGGGAGGTAATGTTGTGGGCGTAGCCCTGGCCTTCTATTATTTTTCCATTTTTCCTAATTTTCTACAATTTATTCCATGTTTGTATGACCCTCCAAAAGTTGGCACTCTGGCGCCAGTATACAAGTCCTAGCCGTGCACTAACACCTCAGGACTGCATCACCAATGGGCATGCATCAGCACATCAAACGCGCTTGCATTGCAGCTGCTTCATCTCTGCATCATGCTTCTTTGGTAACAGCCGTGCTCCAATTTCCACCAGACCTTCTATCTTCGAGTCTGATCAGCAACGGACATCCAATTCCTGTCAGCCCGACAACGTCATATGCTATGACACACTGGCTCCTGTTTCTTGCCGAGTTCCCTAGATACTAGCAGACGCCGTAGCTACAATTGCTTAGGTAATGCCTGGTTTGCGCAAGATCTGAACAGTATATAGGGCCCTTTTGTTGCTACTTAGCCCCATCTCAACCTCTTGGTTATTTGGGCTAGGTAAGCCTTTACTTGTATTGTAGTATACTTACTAATAAACTTCTTAGTTATTTGGGCTAGCTGAACAAGTTAACGCAATTGTTGCCAGACCACTGTCGGTGTCACCTTTAAGTTAGATCTATGAAGTATTCCTCGTAGTGTGTCGACATCAGTCCACATTAACCGAGTTGACAATGCAATGGCTTGACTTGGTCATCTCCACTCAGTGCAGCACTCATGTTGTGTCGAGAATCAGAGCTATCTCGGAGACTACTGTGTTCCCAGTAGGCTCCAAGATGTCACTGTCCACTATAAAAGAATTCTTTGGTACTCTAACCACTGCATTTTCTTTAAGCCAAGTGCAAGCTGTGGACGACATCTACGCCTGAGTGACAGGAATAGACCTGAAGACTTTATTGTCTCTGGGTCCTCCCATATTCTCTTCGTCAATTGCTGGTCAAGTATTGGATGGTAATCTAGAGCTCATTGAGTACAAAGATGACAAAGCCACAGAGTTACTGAGCATTCCTTGTCTCCACATGAGCGCGTTCTAGTCTTGTTTTTGTCTTTGTCAGCCCAGCAACTTCAACTTGCAGGGACAGGTGTAAGACGTGCAACTCAGCACCCATTTACTGTAGACACCTTCCTTTTTTGTAACTTGGTGCTCTTGTCAATTGAAAACACGTCCTCTTTGTGCTCACTTCTGTATTTGTTATTGGGTAGCATTCCAGCCTGATATAAGGTTGGGATGCCCCTCAGTTTTGGGCTCAGACTTTACTTTTACCTCTCTGTTGTAGCTACACTTTGCAAATACAATGTAGTCTGGCTCTTGTAGGGTGATTTCTAAGTTTATGACCTTATAGGTCTTACAAGCCATCTATACAATTTCAAGGAAATGCACATAGCAGGACACCTGCTATATGACAAAACAAAAATAGGACATCATCTTAAAACTGATACTGAAGTACACAAAATGCATCGCGCATACTGGGAAATG